ACAACAGAGAGCTCCGAAACTAACTCAAATTAAACAAACTCAAGTTCGTGTCCTACAAACCAGGACAACGACTTATTCAAATTGAAACTTAGTCAAAACCAACTAACTAGACTTTTATTCTTCAATTCTTCCCCTAAACTGAAACGACTCCTTCCAGTTTAATCTTCCACGCAGCACACTCCCATTCTTCCCCTCTGTTTCTCAAATGTCTCAAGTTTAACAGCTTTAGTCATGATATCAGATACCTGATCTTGAGTCGAACAATAGTCCAACATAATAACTCCATCATTCACCAATTCACGCAAGAAGTGAAATCTCACATGAATGTGCTTGCTCCTTCCATGCAACACAGGATTCTTTGACAGTTTGATAGTGGAGCTATTATCACAGAACAGAACCGTACCATCTCCTTGAGCAGACCCGATTTCTTCAAGTATGTTTCTCAGCCAAACTGCCTGACAAGCCCCATAAGCTGCTCCAACAAACTCAGCTTCAGTTGTAGACAAAGTCACTATAGGTTGTTTTTTTGATGCCCACGAAACAGCTCCTCCATCAAGCATAAACACATATCCAGAAGTACTTTTGCGATCATCAATATCTCCTGCATAATCACTATCCACAAAACCAACCAGCTTCTGTTCTTCTCCTCTCTTGTACCGTATACCAAATTCAACGGTTCCACGTACGTACCTTAGAATCCTCTTTGCAGCTAACATATGTTGTTCTTTGGGATTCTCCATGTACCGACTGACCAAATTAACAGAATAAATCAAATCTGGTCTAGATGCAGTCAAATACCTCAGACTTCCCACAAGTTGTTTGAAAGTTGTGGGATCAACAGCTTCAGTAGCTTCTCCAACTCCCACTTTTGACAGCTTCTGACCAGGCACAATTGGATTCTTCACAGCATTGCAGCTCTCCATCCCATATTTCTCCAAGAGTTCTTCAGCATACTTTTGTTGACTGATGAAAATACCTCTGTCATCCTGAATAACTTCCACTCCCAAAAAGTACTTCATCTTCCCAAGGTCTGTCATTGAGAACTCCATCATCATTGACCTCTTGAACTCTTCTACCATTGAGATGGAGTTTCCTGTGTATATAAGATCATCCACATACAAGCTTACGATGAGAATGTCGTTTTCTACCTTCTTCACAAACAACGTGTGCTCACAATAAGCTTTTTCAAACTTTTCCTTTAGGAAATAACCCTCAATACGACTGTACCAGGCTCTTGGTGCCTGTTTAAGCCCGTACAACGCCTTTTGCAACTTGTAAACTTTGTTGGATTCATCTTCAACTACAAAACCCTTAGGCTGCTCCACATAAACATCTTCATGCAATTCTCCATGTAGAAAAGCGCTTTTAACATCCAGCTGGAATACAATCCAATTATTTTTTGCAGCCAACGCCAAAATTGATCTGATTGTATCCCATCTTGCCACTGGTGCAAAAACTTCATAGAAATCCACTCCATGCCTTTGGTGATATCCTTTAGCCACCAGTCTTGCCTTGAATTTATCTACCTCCCCTTTCTCATTGAACTTTGTTTTATACACCCACTTAACTCCAATCACTTTGGCTCCCACTGGCAGATCCATAAGCTCCCAAGTGTTGTTTTCTTCAATTGATTTGATTTCAGCTTCCATGGCTTTTCTCCACACATCTTGTTGCACTGCATCTTCAAAACGATCCGGATCATCAGAGGCAATAAACATGGCCATAATTTCTTCACCTTTTTCTGTTTCTGAGATCACAAAACCTGCATTTCCTGAATTTCCTGCAACATAGTAGTCTTTCATCCACACAGGCGCTTGTCTGTTTCTTTTTCCTTCAGGTGCAGGTACGTGATTGGGGCTGATCTGCTGTGTTTCTTCTTCTTCTCCACGTTCTTCTTCTTCATTATTTTCAGGGGTGTTTGGCTCCTCCGCTTCATTCTCATTTTCTGCTCCCGTATTCACTTATCTTTCTGTTTCTGTCACCATCTCATTCCATGCTAGCTCATTACTCTCCAGCTCATTATTCCACTCCCAGCCTCTGGTTTCATCAAAGTGAACATCCCTGCTGATCACAATCTTCTTCGTCACAGGGTTATACAGGCGATATGCCTTTGATTCTTTGCTTAGCCCGAACATCACACACTTGACACTCTTCTCATCTAGCTTGATTCTTCTTTCGTACGGCACCAACGCAAACGCAAGACAACCAAAGATTTTTAAATGCTCCACTGACGGTTTGTGTTGGCTCCACTTTTCTTCAGGTGTGATGTCGCCTAAAGCAGCAGACGGGCTTCTATTCAGAATGTGGACCGCATATTGAACAGCCTCTGCCCAGAAACTTCTAGGTACTGACATTTCCAGCAACATACACCTTGTCATGTTCATGACACTTCTATTTTTTCTCTCAGCTACGCCATTTTGTTGTGGTGTGTATGCAGCTGTGAGTTGGCGCTTGATTCCACTCTCCTTACAATAGTCTTCAAATGCCTTTGAATTGAACTCTCCTCCTCTGTCTGTTCTTAGACATACCAAGGCTTGCCCCAACTCCCTTTCTGCTCCTACTTTGAATTCCTTAAAAATCTGTAGTGCTTCTGATTTTTCTGACAAAAGATATGTCCAACATTTTCTGCTAAAATCATCAATAAAGTTGATAATGTACCTCTTCCCACTTTCTGACGTTGGAGAAATAGGCCCACATATGTCACTGTGAACCAATTGCAGTGCTCGTGATGCTCTCCATACACCTTTCTTTGGGATACTGTCACGATTTTGCTTTCCCTTTAAACAGACCTCGCATGTAGCTTCAGCTTCTTCTAAGCTTTCTATTGGCAGCCCATTAACCATCTTCTTCTCAGCTAGTGTCTTCAAACCTCTGTAGTTAAGATGACCAAACCTTCTATGCCACAACTGTTCTGCTTTTTCTGTCACTTGTAAACATTGACCTTCTTCCACTTCTCTCGTCTTTCTCACTACAGCTTGGACAATGAACATCCTGTTCTTTGTCATGGTTGAGGACATCACCATCTTCTGTTGATGCTTGTGCCAGATCTCGCACACATCATCTTCAATGATTACCCGAAGCCCTTTTTTGCTGCAGTTGGCCCACGCTCAAAAGATTGTTTCTTAAACCAGGCACAAAGTAGACAGACGTAATTACTCTGATGGTTCCATTGATCTCCAAACGTAAGCTTCCTTTGCCTTCCACCATCATTCTCCTATCATCGCCAAGTTTAACATTTTGCCGAAAGTTACTGTCAAACTCAGTGAACCATTCCTTTGTACCAAACATGTGATTGCTGCAGCCAGAATCAAGAAACCAGACATGTTCCTCTTCTCCTTGGGTCATGTCAACATGTGACATTAGAACCATGTCTTCTTCCATCTCTGCATAATTGGCTTCTTTGTCCCATTCTGGACACTCAGATTTGTAATGTCCCATTTTGTGACATTTATAACACTCCACCATCTCCTTTGAAGAGTTTCCTCGTCCTCTTCCTTGATACCCTCCTCGACCTCGGTTTGAAGATCCTCCCCTGCCTCTGCCATTGTTAGGCCTCCATTGACCCTCCACCTTCAGAGCATGTTCTTCTCCTTTATGCCTGCTTAGATTCTGCTCGTGCACCATCAATGAGCTTTGCAGTCCATCTACTGTCATCATTTTGATGTCCTTTGACTCCTCTATGGCACATACAACGTATGTGAACTTCTCCACCAGAGTTCTCAGAATCTTTTCCACCACCTTGGAATCTGGCATATCTTCTCCTAGATTTCTCATATTGTTGGCAACCTCCATTACTCTTGAGAAATACCCATTAATTGTCTCTCCGATCTTCATCTCGAGAATCTCAAATTCTCTGCGCAGCCTCTGCAATTGCGCACTTTGAACCCTATCATTGCCTTGATACTTCCTTCTCATCGACTCCCACAGATCCTTTGACGTCTCCTTCTTCATAATCGTTTTGAGAATCGTCTTGTCTATGGAAGCAAATAAGTAATTCTTCACTTTGTGATCCGTGGTGGTTTTCTCCGCTATCTCCGTTCTCTGTGGTCCGGTGAGGATCACGTTTCTCTCCTGTCGTGGAATCCCAGTCTCAATCAGATCCCACCACTCCTTGGATCTGATTAGATTTTCCATGAGCATCGCCCAGTGCTCATAGTCTCCATCAAACTTTGGTACGATTAGTGCATCCTTCTCACTCATCTTCGTTGTGTGTGTGTGTTTTTTTCTCTCTCCTCAAGATCGCTACAAGCTCTGATACCACTTGTTAAAGAAGAAATCAGAGAACTTTGTGAACTGAAAGAGATCTGTAATTATTTCAGAAACAAACTGGTCCTATATAGACCTTACAACAGAGAGCTCCGAAACTAACTCAAATTAAACAAACTCAAGTTCGTGTCCTACAAACCAGGACAACGACTTATTCAAATTGAAACTTAGTCAAAACCAACTAACTAGACTTTTATTCTTCAATATATATATATACTCGACCACTGTAAGAAAATGGAGAAAGTGATGGTTATAAAGTGTTTACAATGGACAAGGCCACAATGCCTAAATGAGGTGAACGTAGAGTCATTGTCCCCTGGTTCTAATGAGCATTTTCAGTTGGGTCCGAATTTCCCAAATATATTGTTAGGAAGATTCTTAGAGATAGTTTAGAATTTGGTAGTATACAATTCTAGAATGACATAAAATGAGAAAACAGGTTGAAGCTTTTTCTTGGGGAGAAAGAAACCAAACCATATTTACCATAAAGACATTTACCATGGATGTCTATGGTTAATGTGTCAAAGTATGTTGAATAGATTGGATTGAATTACTAGGTTGCCACTCTATTCTTTGGGTTCAGTTCATTCAAAATTAATCAAGAAAAACTAAAAGCCAACAAACAGAGGATTCTTAATGACTTAAGATAAAAAAAAAAAAGAAGCTGGTCTTACATAAGAAGTTAGTCTTAATAGACTACTTGCATAAACAAGGCATAAGGTAAGCTCTAAAGGCTAAAGCCACTCCTCACCATCGATGAAGGAGATGTTGGTGAAAGGAGCCGCTTCCACATCGGTTAGTTGCTGCGCATAGGGAACTCTTCCACTATGATTGGCTCCCGGTCCGTAGCACCGATGTTCTCCGAAGTAAACCGTCTTTTGGGTCTTGTGATCTTTCATGTCATTCCACCCTTCATACGACACAACTTGAGACATGTAGGTCTTGGAAAAAACAACACGGGCATAAGGTCTCCATGCACGTCCAAGCCACACCTTCGCGCTTCCTCCAATCTTGCAGTTCACAAAGGAAAACCCGGTTCGCTCTCTTAACGTGTCCTTTCCGTTTGCCGTGATACACCCAACTGTATTTTCCTTTGCTACGGAATGAATAATGCAATCCTGAAAAGGTGAAAAGTATATGGTTTCGGATTGTTAATTACATGTAAGAAAACTATATGAAGAGGTTAATAATGAAATTGCTGTATCTTTTATCCTACCTCATATAAGGATCTCCCATTGCCAAATATAAAATCAATGGATCCTTCAATGAAGCAATCTTTGAAGTAGTGTCTTCCTTCTTGGTCTAAAAGGGTGTCTTGGTTCCCAAAAAACCCACAGCCATAGAAGGCGGTTTTGTCTCCTACAACCTTTAGTGCCACCGCTTGTTCTCGGACTGCTCCGGGGTTGGGTGCGGGAGAAGTGTTCTTATCCATGAAAACGACAAAACGTTAAGTTGCGAAAATTTTATTAGAAACCATACCGAGAAAGCAAATTCATTTGGTAGCATAAAACATAGGCACAATTTTATTAGATACATCATTAAATCTAAACTATCCACCAAGGAAGTAAGAATTCATTAGAACCCATAAAACAGAGGAAAAAACATTTCAAACTTTATGTAAGAGCGAGAGACAATCATTAGAAATCATAAAACAGAGGAAATTTTTAACTAGATACTTAAGTATCTACAAAAGCAGAAAAATCTCATACAAATCCACACAAAACAGAGGAAAATACATTCAAACAATAATTATCTTCCCATTCTCTTAGTTCCAAGCAAAAGTTTTTTCTATGTTGTTAAGATGACAGCTTAACGAAAATTCCCAATGAAGTAGATTGTAAGAAATTCATTAGACACCATAAAACAGAGGACAAAAACATCTCAAACTTTATGTAAGAGCGAGAGAGAGAGACAATCATTAGAGACAATAAAACAGAGGATTTTCTTATAACTAGATCCTTAACTATCTACAAAGAAATTGATCTCAAATTCCCAATGAAGTAAGTAAATTATACTCAAAAATAATATTTAAAAACAAGAGAATCACTCTTACCTTGAAGCTTATGTTTTTGGCCGTGAAGAGATCTCCATAGAGAGCAACCGAGAAACTTTCATAGGTTCCATTGGATGAAGAGGCTGTGTTGTTCCATTCAATGGATGTCCTTGAGAGCCCCATACCTTGCATCACAAGGTTCTTCTTGTTCTTAGGAACAATAACCCTCTCCCTAACAAAATAAAATTAAATTAGACAATAAAATTAGACACCACATGTAAATGTTATAAAGTAAGCAAAAAAGAAGAAGAGATTAGAGTGAAGGACTAACCTATAGATTCCATGATCAATTAAGATGAGTTGCTTGGTGAGAGTTGAACCAAGAGATGCATCAATGGCATTTTGGATCCTTGTGAACCTACCACAGCCATGAAGGGAGGAGACCTTGTAGACCAAGGTGTATCCTTTGGTTGGAAAGTTTAAGAATTCAGCATCACATTTTGGGGTACGATCTAGCTGAGTAGGAGCGATGATGGAGAGAAAGACAATAAGGAAAAGCATGGTAGACATAGGAAATGAAGAAGATGAAATGTAGAAATTTTTTTGAAGAGTTCAAAGCTTTTTGTTTTTAGAGTTGGGGAAGATGAAATGCGGTAAAACAGTTAAGAGGAGAAAGCTTCTTCTACTTGGGGAAGATGATGATGATGTTGAATTAATATATATCCCAATTTTCATTTGATATTTTGCACTGTCATCACAACTAAAGATTCCATCAATATGTTTTTATTTTAATTTTTTTTACGT